CTGTAGGCGGGGGGTGCAGCCGGCGGGGTGGTGTGCGGGCTGGCCAAGTACAGGGAGATGCCCTGGACGGCCGTCACGAGGTCCCGCAGGGTGTTGGTCATCTCCTCCGGCGTGAAGACGGAGGTTGTCGGCGGCGCGGAAGTGACGGGGGCCGGCGGCATTGGGGACCCGGCATTGGTCATCGGGGCGGTGGTGATGATGGCAGCGGCGGCGTGGGTGTTGATGACGACATGACCGAACCCAAGTCTCTGGATACCAAATTGGTAGAAACAGGGGTCCTACCGGATTTGCTCCGGAGGTTGTAGGGGAAGGATGGAATGGGACGGGGCGATGATCGGACGCGCCGGCGGCTGGGCGCCGTCGCGTCGGAGGGAGATGGCGGCGGCTAGGGTTCCGGCTCCTCTGGGAACCGGGCAATAGAGATAATAATATTCTTATTGCTTAATTTCAAAAAGAGTCTTACAGCCTATATTTATAACCTAGATAAATTGTATAAGAATTAACCTAAGATAACTTGTGGTCTAAGATTACCTGGTGGGCCTAGCTAAACCGGCCATAACAGCAGGAGATGCTATGCGCTACATTGTTTCGCTAAGGATTTTTAGAGCTTTTCAGGTAATCATCATATCATACTAATTTGGACATGTTTCAGAATGCAGGATAAAACCATTGCTTATGTAGGCGACTCTTTAGGGAGGCAGATGTTCCAGTCGATGATGTGCATGCTTGCGGCATCTGGGAAACATGATTCAGATGTGGAAGATGTTGGCTCCAAGTACGGAATGGCCCAGACACATCGTGCAAAACGACCAACACGGTCAGTAGGCTCGGCCTACCGGTTCCGGAGCACAAACACGACCGTCCTGTATTACTGGTCATCGACGCTCTGCGATCTGGAGCCTCTCAGGCGATCAAATCCAGCTGCCGGTTACGCCATGCACCTTGATCGCCCACCTTCGTTTCTCAAGAAGAACCTTCACAGGCTCCACGTCCTTGTTCTGAACACCGGGCATCACTGGAACAGGGGTAAGCTGAAGGCGAACAAGTGGGAAATGTACGCCTCAGGAGCACCGAATAACAACCGAGAGATCGCCAGCATGTGGAAGGCGAAAAACTTCACTATACATGGTGTTATTAAGTGGCTAGATGCCCAGCTTCCTAGATATCCCCACCTGAAGGTATTCTACAGATCACTGTCACCAAGGCATTTCTTCAATGGGGAGTGGAACACCGGAGGCACTTGCAACAACAAAGATCCTTTGGCCAAGGGTAACAGGGTGTTTCAGAATCATTCCGAAGATGCCGACAGCGAAGGAGCGGCAAAAGGCACTAGGATCAAGCTCTTGGATATCACCGCGCTTTCACGGCTACGCGACGAAGGGCACATATCAAAGTACAGTATCAGAGCTACACCAGGGGTCCAAGATTGCTTGCACTGGTGCCTTCCTGGTGTTCCAGACACATGGAATGAAATACTGTCCGCTCAACTGTAGGCCCTTGGCTGCTGTCAGGGCAGGCTCAGAGGTTTACATTCATCTTAGCCCGTCTTTAGAAGCTTTGCTCATCGTAAGTTATGATCAGCTAGCGAAGGGCTCTTTCCATCATGAACGGAGTACAGTTCATGAACTTTACTTGTAACACTTGTTATGCCGGTATACAGTTCAAAAACATTCTTTTCAAGACCATGAAACACTGTTATACGTGATCACTGTTCAACAAAGAAACAAGATGAGGCGTGTTCAACAAAGAAACAAGATGAGAATACATCCAGTATGACACGCTTTAGATCAAGTACCCTTGCCAGGAAAATTCTATAAAATTGGTGTATCTCCAGGTTAAACGGGCTTACAAAAAGGAGGCTACAAAGTACAAACTGGTAACGATCAAATTTTTAAGAGCACAAACACCCCAAGCTTAAAAATTGTGAGACCTAGTGATACATGTGACCTTTGTCCAACCACTAGCCAAATATACCGATATAAAGCACTGATGGTCACAGTCATTAACTTTAAAAAACCGGACAAAAAACTTCTTGGTATCACCAAACGCACACATGACTAAGCAGTGGCATCAAGACAAATCCAAGCCATCCAGCCAAGCATCACCACTTTCGACAAGTTGTCAATCATAACTGGCATTCAGAAACTTCAACAGTTCATTGCGCTTGCTCTCAGCCGCCTTATCTTCCTTGGATTTCTCAAGCTTCATCATTATCTACAAATTAAGTTAAATAGTTCATACTTAATAGTCCACTTAGATTGGATGATTTTCATTCTAGCAGGTACACAACATCCTACTGTTGTGTGAGTACAACCTAAAAGATAAGGATCAAAATGGTAGAGAAATCATCCTCCTCACCTTTTTACCAGAGATAACACTCCTTTTGCCGCTTTCCTCCTCCTCGCGACCAAGGAACTAATAAAGAAAATTAATTGCATTAGAAAATGATTATAAGAAAACAAACAAATGAAAAGGCACACAGGAAATATTTATACCTTGGAAAGTTGGACCGGACCGCTAGAACGTTCACTCTCTTTCTTCTGTATAAAGCTCCCGCATTGAAGAGAACAAAACATAACAACCAAGACAACCAGCAAGCCAATACACCATGTTGTCACCCGTTCACGAATCCCAGCTCCAATGTCAAAGAGCCAACCCAGAAACAGGTAGCAAGAAATATAAGGATCTCTCACGTGCAAATAAAAAGGACAAGAAATATTTCTGTTGCTAAAACTGTGTGTAGTACATGATATTGAATATTTTTCAATTCATATATAACCAATGATAAATACAGTTGCTGATTTACAGAAAACGATTATTACATGTGATAAATTTATGCTATGATAAAAGGTAGGGTTTTTTAGGTAAGTAGAAAATTTACCTCTCTATGTTTACTCTTGTCCCGTTTATGATGCCTATCCTTGCTTCGCTCTCTTTCCCTAGACTGCCAGAATGAGGATACAGTGAGTCAATGAGAGGCCAAGTACTAGGTGTATGCTGAAAAAACCGACAAGACATCAAACATATATGAATTGCTGGGGCAGTACCTTCCTTGATCTACTGCTCTTCTTATGCTTACGTGATCTGCCAGATGCCTCGCGGTCACTATCATAGGAGCTTGCGCTACTACAAAAAGAATCAGACACTTCAATATGCCAGAGTAGGGTCAATTGCAAGCAGAAGAAGTTATTACTGAATATAGTCTAAAACACAAAGGAGCATTATCCGTATCTCATCCATGAAGCTTAGACAGAGGATTAATGGCTGGAAATTAATAGAATAAATTTGCTCACGCAACTACTTTATCCACTACTAATCACAATCCGAATCTCCTCAAAGCCTGGCCATTATCTAGCTAATACACTAACCATCATGAGTCGTGACTAAAAAGATCACAGCAATTTGCAAAAGGAGTATCCCATCCTTCTTCAGAACCACACAATTCAGGTTCACCTAAACTTGTTCCTGGCTACAAGTGGGAGGATCCCAATTCCCTACAACCCAAAAATACAAACAAAACTAGAGTCCTAAACTCAAATACACTTCCCCTTGAACAGATACAAACTCATTTTAGTATGTGCGTTTGGGTTCCCAAAACAACTTCTTTTCAGGAACATGATGTTTCCTATTAAAAACATTCTCTAGAACCTAAGGTTGAACTATTCTTTAGCTGCCCAAAGTTTGACATCATAATAGCTCGAATCAAAGAGAAAATTTCATCCTAGAATAAAATATTGATTTGCAATAACCAGACAACCCCCACCTCCACTTCTTTGAAGATATATCAGTACCCTCAGCTTGCATCTAAGAAGCTCGTATCTTGAGACATTTCTATTAACTAATGAAAGAACAGAACACCGCTAGCTAAAGTTCCGGATTTAGATCACAACTATTCTCCTCCCCTTATCACCTTACATGATTACATTCATTGATCAGCACTACAACACTATCCCCATCAATAGCAATCTGATGTGGAACAGTAATTTCTGTCGATTTCCAGCATATAGTACTGTCAACATTGGTTCTTTTCACAGAAAAAATATCATCATAGACTAAAACATTGATTGCTGATGACTAGATGGCCCTCACCTCCACTTCCTGAGAGACATATTTCACCCCAAAAGTTGGCAAATGGAGAAGTGGCGCTCACTAACCATTAATAAATAGTCAGCAAGCTCATCTCGTATCTACGAAGCCTTTCCTTTATCATACAAGAGATTTCTATAACAGAAAGAACAAACGATGCTAGTTAAAAGTTCCAGGTCTAAATCACAACCATTGTCTTCCCCTTATCGCCTCACATGCTTTCTGTCTTTGATCAGCACTGCAACTCTATCCCCAGCAATAGCAATCTGAAGTGCAGCATATATACTACTCCCTCCGTTCCAAAATAGATGACCCAACTTTATACTAAAATTAATACAAAGTTGGGTCATCTATTTTGGAACGGAGGGAGTACTATCCTCGTTAGTTCTTATTACCAAGCAGCCTAGGTATTGTATCCCGGACTCGACGCAACATCTCCAACAAGTCCAATTCCAGATGGAAGCTTCGCATCATTATCCTATCCCTACGATTCCAACTGAAAATCGAGACACCGATGTTGACCTACGCATATATTTCCTCTCTCCCGACCCTCCAAAGTCAACCGCACCAACCCAATTTCCCAGATCACGAGCCCTTTCAGCCTAACCCTAGCTAGCAACGGGAACCTATACACAGAGAGGGGGGACGACGAGGAGGGGGAAGCTCGCCTGTAGCTGTCGTCGTCCGAACGGGACTTCCGCCTCTCCCAGCGGCGGCGCTTGTGGCGGGACTTGCGGTCCTTGCGCACCTTCAGCGCGGAGGAGGAGGACGTGGACGGCGCGGCGTCCTTGCGGCGGCTGTGGCGGCGGCGGACGCGGCGGTCGCTCCCCGAGGAGGAGGAGGAACCGGAGGAGTCCGTGCCGGAGGAGGAGGAGGAGGAGGAGCTGGCGGACGGCGCCATGGCTCGCGGGTCGTGGCGGTGGCGGCGGCGGCGAGGGAAGGGGGTGTTTGACGAAAAATCTCACGCACGTATTCCTTTCCTCTCTCGCGGAAAAGGGTGCACGCCAGCTCCTTTGTGAATCAGACCGAGTCGGTCCACGTGAAGCGCGCGTGCACGCCAGTGTTGGGCTGAAACAAGGCGTCTTTTTTTTTCTAAAAAAAACTGAAATAAATCTTGAGTTCGTACTCTAAAGTCTGAAAAGCAAATTCTAACATGGAAATTCCTGAAACTGGCACCATGTACGCTCCAATCCCGGTCTATCACAGCCATAAGAGCGGCTTGAGGGCGAACCGATGCTAAATTGGCCCCTGGGGGCGTTCTAGCTCGCAGTCACGTCCTCAGGCGTCGGCCCTAGGACACGACAATTTCGAACTTGGTTGTTCCCGCTCAAAAGATGCCACAAGTTCGGTGATCACATGACACAGTTTAGTGATCGAATAAATAGTCTGGCGCACACAAAAAAGAGCGCCACAAGTCGCGTGCGCAACGCATCACTCGACGGGGTCGGCCTTCGGCGTCGGTGTAGTCGGCATGCGCGGGCTAGGCGGTGACGGGGCTGCTTCTGTGCTGGGCGGCGTCAGCGCGGCTTCGGTGCTGCTTGGCGTCGTTGTGACGCCCCAAGACCGGAGCTTCAGATGCCTTTCAGGGTTTTCGAGATTCGTTGTGTGATTTGTTTTTGCTTGCTGCATTCATCATTGCATCTTTTGCATTGCATCATGTCATCATGTTATTTTTTTATCTCAACTAAATAAATGGCATGAATCTTTGATCCATTTAAATTGAGGGAACTCACATGGTGGTTTCTCTTTATAACATATCCTGCTAATATTTAGAGAGCTATTATAAAATATTTAACTTAGAATCACCCATAACACACTTGCAAAAATCCCAATACTTTAGTCATCACGACTCTTGGCCTCTAACTTTGCCATATGTCCTTTCGTCATTTCCGGAGCTCCACCTAAATTCTCAACATTTTTTGGGCACTTTGAAAAACCTGTCCTAGTTCAAACCTTTTGAATTAAATTCAAAGGAATTTGAATTTAATCTTTCAAACTTGACCTTTTCTATTTTCCCGGACCATGCACATTTTTACGAGTCCGTGAAAATTATCCCCATGCCCAAACTCTTTCTCTACCCCTTTTCTTTTCTTCCCTTTTCTTCCTCTTTTTCTGCTGTTTTGAAAAGTGTAAGAGAGGGAGAAGAGAGCCCATAAGCTAGCTGGGCCTCCCTGCTGTTGCGTCAGCTGCAACCTGCAGCTAGGCCGGCCCATTCGGCCCAAGGCCAAGGCCCGACCGGACCCTAGCCTTTCCCGAGCCTGTTCCCCAGCCTCATCTCTCGATCTCCACCTCTCTCCCTCGTTCCCTCCCAACGCCGCCGCCACACGCACGCCCCCACGCATCGAGCCAGGAGGCCGCGCTCGATCCCCATCTCCCTCGCAACCACCATCTCCCTGATCCCCTCGTC